GCCAAATTGCAACTCTTGACATGTACTCCTTCATACCTCTAAGCTGGTACCCAGTAGGCAGTATAATTTTATGAACAAGACCATCTTTAATAAACATAAAAACAAAATATAAATACGACTTTACAAATATAAAACTTTGCATTTTTCAGAAATAAGCTCAAAACAATACGCCAAACAAACTGCTGAATGAATGGAAGGAAATCATATACCTTCAGCTAAATTGCTTTATTTCTAATCATTAAATTACCCTGTTCAACCTAATAAATAATCTGGCAGTTCATTTTGCATTAGTAATTTAAATTGTGTTGAAATGTATTTTACATATCAAAACAATATTTCATCTAAAGTAACTGGAATGTAAAAAGCTTGTTAAAACTAATAGTTTTCATAAAAGTATGAAACTCAAATTTATAGCTTAAATGTTTCATATCAACTGGAAATATGCATTGAATGATAAACCAAAAAAAATTTCATCAATAAGCTAATATAAATCAAAATATAAAAATAGGTGAAATATTAAATTCATTAACATGTTATATTAGTATTAATTTCACAATTGTCATTGTGAAATTATTAGGCAATTGTGATAGCCTATGAGCTGATTGGTTGAAATGCCATCATAGAATCTCATTTCTACATTTTATCATGTTCAGTCAATATGCTAAAAGAAAAAAAATTTAATTTTATTAAACAAGAACAGCATTTTTAAAAATTCTTTCAATATTAAATTTACTTGATGTATACATTATATTTAAATAACAATTATTTTTCATTATTTTTTTAAAATAGTAGTTTCAGTTTTATTGCAAAACTAAGTGTTGAATCTAACTTTAAAAAATAATAAAAATGTTAGAAACCGTAAGAGATTAAATATACTGCAAAACTGAATGAGATTATATTAAAGCAGCAACTAATGCCTGTAATCCAGTTAAAATGAACAAAATTTATTATAAGAAGGAACATTTTCAACTGCTTTTAACAGCCATCATCAGGTTATGGAATGTTATACTGAATAGAATAAAATTCAAAAATTAAAGAACTCATTAAACACATACTGGTGGTCACATGCATAAAATAAAGTTGAAGAGAAATAAAATACTTATAAAGTACATATATATGGTGTAAGTACAAATAAAAATATAACTGTTCATAAATAGCCTTCCATGCATGTATGCAATACTGTAGATGTCCTTAAAATTAACAGAAAAATCTTTCTTAGTTCTTTGTAAATTTCAAGGTTTTTGAGATGATTAAGTTGTGCAGAAACAGATGTTCTATGTAAGAGATATATATTATTGAAGTCCACTCAAATATCATTGTCATAAGCAAAAACTGCAAGGGCTATTGTGCACAAACCCTTTCAAACAGTGTAGTGATGTAGTATTCTTTTGCTGTGCAAAACTTTTAAATCTAAGTTCTTTTGTAAGTTCCCCAGATAATTTCAACCACACACATCATAAACACGAAGATAATAAAACACAACATAGAGAAATGACGAGAAACAATAATTGTAATCATCATGAGAATCATGATTACAATTATTGATCTGTACCAACTCAATCTGTACCAACCAATTGATCTGTACCGCTTCTTGATAAAAAGCACTGAGTTCAGTGTTAATACGAAAATTGTATTAACGCTGAACTCAGTGCTTTTTATCAAGAAGCTATACAATTTTGGCGTGAGTTTTATTTATTTATCTAGATATGTACCAACTCAAAACATAAGTAATTACTAGATAACTAGTAATCTTCAGAAGAAATTTTATTTAGTTATTAAATATACACAGGTTTCCTACTGAAATTTTTGTTTTAAATTCCATGACTTTCCCTGACTGACTCTCTACAAATTCTCTGACCCTCACATCACTTACAGTATAGCACATTAACAAAATAAAATAGCATTTGACTTACTATGCACATACACTATTGCTTCTCCAACTTTTTAATTAGATAATTTTTCAAATTAACAGTTATATATTTTTTATAATTGCCAAATTACTAAAATTAAAAATAAAACGTTTTATTAAATTAATGTACTTTATTCTGTTATTAATCCACAACCATAAATCTAATAACTTTTAAAAAAAGCCATTTATTTACTTATTTATTATTCAATAACAAATCCTGTATAATTCATGTACTAAAGTACAGTATATACTTATTAAATTTATACCTTAATAAATTTCCCAAACTTTATAAAATATTAATAAAACTGGAAAAAAATCAGAAATTGTTTTGTTACACAATCAAAATCATTAAAATGAAAAATAATAAATAACAACATTTAAATTAAAATTATTTATCATTTTTTGCACTTTGCAAGTTTTGGGAAAATTATGTGTATTCTTGGGATAAATTTTGAATCCTGAAAATATTCTGCACCCCTTTTCATAACTTGTATTGCCCCACATTACTTCTTACTGCCTGCAGACAGCTATACTTAATCAAGTACCGTAGATTGTCAGCAAAATCAACAAGGCAGCAAAGGAAGCAAATTCCCTGACTTTCCATGATTTTTTTCAAACACTAATGAAAATCCCCAATTTTTCCTGACTTTCCAGGTGCCTAGGAACCCTGCATACAGTGGTACCTTGTACTTTGAATGCCAAATTTGACAAAACTTCACTTTGGTGTCTGAACCATGTTTCAAGTTTGAACCGAGTGCAGAATAAAAAAATGCATTTGAAGCATAAAATAAGCTTCTGAACAAAGAATATAATTTCAATTTAGCAATAATGTGTTAAAATTTATTACTTACAATTAAATCACACATCTATGTTAAGTAAGGACAACTATGCAAAAACTTTCCTTTCAACCTTATAACCTTTACCTATTAATCGTGACATCCAATAATGTGAAGAAGCAATGAAGTGTAACTAGTATCTAGTATGAAGACTTGAAAAGGGCTAAGGTGAAAAAGGCACATTTTTGGAGGATCTGGTATTTAAGAGCTGAAGTGGACAATTTGCAACCAGTAAATGCAATTTTCATGTTGTTATACATTATTTACATATTTAATTTATTGTTTCCATATTTTAATTTATTATTAGGGCATTTAATTGTGTTATTTTTACCTTAAGTTATGTGTATTTGTCATTTTAAGTTTATCGAAATGGTTATTGTTTGGTGTCTAGAAATCAATTACAGTAGAGCATTGATTATTCGAAACAATTTGGGACTGGAATTGTTCGGATAACTGATTATGTATGAAAAAATATATTAACCTATCCCACGTTGAAATTTGTTAAGGATGCACCAGGATTTTAAGTACCCTCTCATGGTTGCACCAGTGCTGCCAGCTAAAATATGCACACCAACAAAAATAATATTGAAGTAGCCCAAGACAAGGCCAAATATTGCAGCGCCACAGCACTAGCGAAAATTTAAATTTGCCGACTGGAACGCTTTCGGTTAATCGATGTTTTGGTTGATCGATATTCAGATAATCGATGCTCTACTGTAATTTGCTTTCCATTATTTCTAATGGGAAAAAGTTCTTTGGATTTCAAATTATTCAGAGTTTGAACAGCCTCCCAGAATGAATTAAATTCAAAGCATAATAAGGCACCATTGTATGTAAATATGACTATTCTTTGATATATTAATTTTTAGAGGGACAATTATTCAATTGAAATATATTGTATTTCCTCACATAAGACCATATTCTTAAGCTACATGTACAACTTATAGAAAATTATGGACAGATTTCTGTTCTCTAGCAAGACTAGTCAATAACTACATGCACTGTACACTAAATTGGAATTTGCTCTCACTAGACTGGTGCTAGAGTAAACTATTGTTCACATATGTGTGTGTATTTTTGTTCACGTATATCAGACATAGCAAACTCTCAGTCTAGAGCAGTGACAGAAAACCTTTTTCCAAACATGGTCAAAATTGAATTTTAAATTTATTAATTCCAAAATTATGAGTCAAATATTTACTTTGAGTAATTAAAAATAAAAATAAATGGTTAGCATTTGATTATATTTACATTGACATAATGTAGTACCAGAACAAGAAACACACTGGGTATTTATTATTAACCTTGCATATAAGAGCACATGCTTTATTTGAGGTATGCACTTATTCATCTAAACAGCAGGATATGCATTTCAACTGCAAAGAAAAAAAACAAGCAATTTTCACATTAAGAGCATGCTCATATACGCAAGTAAATACAGTAAGCCATTTAAATAAAATTTATAAGATTAATTCAACACAATTCAATGTCACCTAAGTTACTTTAACTATACTTTCATTGAAAATTAGGTTATGTTTTAATAACTAATAAAGATCTGATAATTTTCATTAACATTTCATATAATTACACAACAGTACTCAAGTTTCACCAAATGAGAACAATGAAAACAGACAATCATACAGATTTTTAAAAAAATATTTCATCAAATGAACACAACTAATTAAAATATAAAAATTTAAACAAGATCTTGTAACCATAGTATTATTTAACTGAAACTATAAATACTTTTATTGTTAAACTAAGTCATAATTTTTTCTTCAATATCGTTAATAAGTCATTTATAACGAATCCAACATATTTACCAGCATTTAAATTCTTTAATGTAGATTTAGCATTGAAACAATAAACTTTGAACAATTATTTAGTGTATTGTTTATAACTGATTCGAAATTATCATCAGTCAGAATCTCTTGCATACAGTACATTGATTTTATGACGATGTTTTGGTTGGAAAAGAATAGAAACTAAAAAAAGTCATTATAATTTAACGTTTAAAAGAATAAATACATGTGAACAAATAAATATTAGACATTTGTAAACTTATTAAATGATTTTATATCAACAAAACATTGAAAATCGATCAAAATTCATTATCGTGACTCAGGCGTTTTGATCGACTAAGCCTAAAGTTAGGCTTAATATGCCACGAATAAAAAAACAATATCAAGAATTGATTAAAAGATTAGCTTTTAATTCGTTAGTAATTGTAATTTAAGAAACAATTGTGAATATACCTTGGTTTATTTGAAGCCATTTTCGATTTATTTTCCTTTCTACGGGATCCAACCTAAACCTTCGTGAACCGTTCAGATATCGCTGAATAACTAGTTAAAGGGAACGCGAGTATACTGTCGCCGAAGATGTCGCTGCCTTCGAAATTAAATAATTAATAAATAATTTTAAAATATAATAATTATAAAAATTAATTTTAATATTAAGGAAAATTATTAAAATTTAAAAATAATATTTTGTTAATGTAATTAACGAAATATCAATTTTTATACTTTATTGATTTTTAGAGATAATTGATCTATCATTCTCGTTTCTTTCATCGATAATAGTTATGGATCCTTTAAAGATCTCTAAAAAATATCTCTAAAGGCTCTATAGGTAAGCGAAGGCCATAACTAAATATCAAAGTTAGAATTGTCATTGGTCGGCCAGATAGTTTTGACGCTCATTATTACTGGAGTCCTGAGATATTCATGGTTCGGATTGAACTCGAACCCGGATCCAACCATTTAGCTCGCCTAATGTATTCGAAGTTAGGAATTTGGTCTACTCGCATATTGATTAGTTTATATTGATTTTCTTATCATGAAAGATGGAATAGGATATAAATGGTTCTGCAATGTGTCTATTTCTTTATTTCAACGGAATTAATATATCTTGCAAGATATATTACTTATACCAAGAAATAGTACTTTGTTTTTTTTTCTCTAAAAGTTCAATTCTTTCATAAATTTTTGTATATTTGTTTAATGTAGTACTTAACTTAAACTATGTAGATCAAATATGATCGACATGCATTACTGTATATTGTGCAATCAATGTCGCATAAAGTTTTGTGTATAAAGAGCGTTGATTATCCGAAGTAATTGGGACGGACAATTTCGGATAATCACACTTACGAGTTAGTAGGGAAAGAATAAAAGATAAATACCTTAAATAAAGTAAAAATATTAATTTTAATTATAATATAAAAGTTTAAAAAAAGAAGGTTAAGGAACATAAATTTCATATGTGCGAATAAGAAATAACGAAAAAGTTGTATAATTATTAAAAACATGCACTAATCTTTCATTTGAATCTATAATGCACTGATAAAACAAAGTAAGCAGTATACATTATTGTAGTAAAATTAATAAAAAAAATATGTAGTTAGCTATAAATTATTACTATTTGCCAATAAGCTTGAAAATGATATGACTTAATACAGTGGGAATACACCGATACGGGTATCTTTAAATTTTCCACGAAGAAAAGAAAATTTAGTACTGAAAGAAACGTTACAAATAAATTTGTGCATTGTAGCATTGTTATGAGATTCGTTTTTTTATCTTATCTTGGCAATGCTAAGGTTATTTGATGACGTCACTTCTATCCGTGTAAGACCACCATATCAATAATAGTAAATATTAGAGTTATAATAAAGTGAGTACTTATAAAGGCGACAACAAAAGTAAATTGCTACCATTCACCAATTTGTGTGAAAATGATATTACAGCACTCTTCTGCTAGAATAAACAATGCTTCTGTATCAATCCTATACAGAAGTTAGAAATGTGCTTTAGAAGTAAGAATTAATATATTTATTCAAAGAAATTTCATATATTAATTTATCTTAAATAAATATCCCGCAATAAACTAGTTTTATGACAGCAAATGCAAATTAGATTTACTGCAATGTATGTATTTAACATAACTCACAAATGTTCAAATAAACTTTAAAATCCATAATTGGCAGGGAAAAAAAGCCCTTTTAGGGTTTCCAGGTAAAAAGAATAAAAAATAAAAAAAAAAATATGTCAATTATACCATTCTCCCAATGATCCGTTTTATGGTAACTATTTCTTTTTGTTTTTAGTGTTTATCAAGTGATCGGCCCTTTTCTGTGGCTATTTAGTCTAAACCTATAAATTATTTGACTTCTCGGTTTCGAATTCCTGGTTTCTGAAAGAATAATAAAAAAAAATTGATGTCAATACCACGATGCTGACTGGCATCAAATTTTTTACATCTTTTCCATCCTGCGGATACTACAAAGACATTTTAAACATATTTATCATGGATTCGGCCAGGATTACGATGGTGGCAGCCGAATGGTGAGATCTATGAAGAATTCAGGGGTTCCCAGGATCAAATCCATGCAGCGAAGAACTGCATGCATTTGAACCTGGGTCCTCTACAGTGATTGGTTACCGCTCTATCTGGCCTCCAAAAACATAACTGAAGAAATGGAAGATGGTAATATAGTACTAATATTTTGATGTATTTCGGATGCTGTTGTGAGTTATTACAATAAAACTAATAAATATTGTTTTTTTTTTTACTTATGTTAGTTCATGGTAGGCCTATTTATAGAAAGACAGTAACCTATATAACGATGAAATATATATTAATATATAAGCATAATAATAATAATGCTATATTTCAATATATACTCAGATTATTTAAATACTATGGCACGACGGCCTGTAGATCAGGTTGAAAACGTTTATTTAACAATAAATATCGGTTCCCAGAGACATAAGGTGTGCGTGTCATAATAATGCTATATGTATAGAGTTTATTTTAATGTACTTTGTATATAAAATATAAAATAGATTAATAATATAGATAATTTATAATTTTATTAATCAGAAAATTCAAGAAATTTATTCGAAATTTATTTATCTAAATTCAATTTCTATTTCAGTTATGCAACTACCTTGATATTTATTTTATTGTACTTTATCTACAATAAAGTTCAATAACACTTTTTATTTATACTTTATTCTCTTTGTAGGCACTTAAACAGCTTTTTATCATATTCATTACGAATTCGATCATGTCTATACTGGAGCGGTTAGATGGCATAATGAGAAATGGATCTGACATATCCAAGCCACTACAAAAGAAAAATCCCTGAGGTTCTGACAGCCCCGAATTCAAACCTGGGATTGTCAGAACTCAGGAAAAATTTTTGTCAGAAGGTGTGCACTTTAACCATAGAAACAACTGCCAAATTATGAGTATCAGACTGCATTTGGATCGATCATCTATGAATCATTAACCAGATCCACTCTCAGTAATAGACTATATCAACTTATGGTAATTAAGGTGGACGTAAAATGGTTAATAACTTACGGCGGGCATATTAACTGGCTCAAATAGAAAATTAATTAACATCAAAAAATAATATATTTAATAGAATTTTATTACAGTTTTAAATTATACACTTACTAAAAATTTTATAATAAAGAAATCTGTTTTTCCTACTAAAATTTTAATTATCGAATCAATTCTATTGACATTTTATTAAATAAATAATAATTTTTAACTATGAATACGTTAAAACTCTTTTATTTTTTAAATTGAAATAAAAATTTGAGAGGTTAAATAATGAAATATTTCACTTTACAATAAATATTCGTATATTTAGAAATTTAAATATTGATACAGTATGTTCGATTTCTTTCGTGTAAATTTACTCCCTTAACATGAATTACATAATTATATTCCTTATAATTATATTTTTAGTTTATAAATTTTCTATTTTTAATTAAATTAATTTATTTACATCATATATTAAAACCATGATTATTAAAACGGTTTAGAAATTTATAACTATACGCCTCAATAATCACAAAACAATTATTTCATAACGGAAACCATAACTGAAATTTATGTTATCTAAGATATTTCTTTTATTATTAAGAACTGAAGCAGTTATTGAATTTTGATATCGGTTTGTTTTTTCAATGCTTTCCAATTTCTATATTTTCTCTATGAAATTTGATACATCTATAGATTAAACTATACTTATTATGCCTTGTCTAAAAGATTTAAAAAATGCATTTCATGGCGAAATGCCATGTTGTATATTTCGATTTCATTAGGAAGGACTAAAGTGAAATATCTTCATATACCTACAATGTTAAAAACTTTGTGACATAAGTCCTCGAAGCTAACATTATCTTGATAAAAAGCAGCAGATCAACAAAGTACAATTTAAACTTTTTATTCATCTCGATCTGATAAATGCAAACTGGTTCAGATTATTTTTAAGTTCAGTTTTTCTGTTTAATAGTTGGTATTTATTTTCGTGACTAGATGTGCTACTTGATCGTAAACTTTCTCAATATGTTTGCTTTTCGTATATTTTAATAACTATAAATTTCCTAAAAAGTAATAAAAATCAAGTTGGACGAGAAGTAGAGTTCTACCAATGAGCTAAGTTGAGCAACAGTTCGGGATTTCGACAGTCATATAAGCTCTCAGCTGGAATTTAAAATCGCAGTTCACAGATTACTTGTCAGTATCGATCCCGTTCCAATTCCAATTATCGGAAGTGTAATATACATTTAAAATACTACCCTTTATTACTTTAAGTCAGGGGTGTCCAACCCGCGGCCCGCGGGCCGCATGCGGCCCAAGGCAAGTTCCAATGCGGCCCAGTAAACGTGTAAACAAAACCGAAAAATGTTTTAATTTTTTTATTATTTATTTATTTCAAGGTTATAAACTCAAAAAAGAAGTTTCACAAAGCCGTAAATCTTTATTCATATTTTATTTTTGAGTGGAAAGAAAATATTTTCAAATACTTGGAGATGTGTGAATGAGAAAAAATTACTAAATAAAGCTGCAGTTGTAACTCAAAGGATTAGACACCCTAATTTGGGGAAAGGGGAGAAATGCGAGAAAGGCCAAAAGATAAAAAGTAGTGAGGAAAGTTAAATAGATCTTCTGTTATGCAAATATTGATGTTACTGTGAATAACCGATATCTGGTGAATTCACACAGTCGTTTTCGTGTATGTACGAAATATTTGCTAAATATCATTATTTCTCACTTACACTGGCAAATGTCGACATTCAGCATGCACTGATGGTGAATGTTGAATAAAAATATTTTTATTACGTTAAGGCAAAAATGCAACATTTTAATATGTCAAAATAGGAGAAAGCTTAAGTAACAGCACATTTAAATAAACTGTTGAACCTAAAACGAACATAACATTCTTAATCATTAAAGAAAATAATACAATAATAAACTTACACATAAATTATGTGATTATCGTTATACAGTCTTATTTATTGCAACAATTTAAACTGTTATGGCACTTTGAATTGCACAAGAGTCCCTTGCTTTTACAACTGCATTTATTCG